TTTTTAGGCATTTCATATTATTTATTAATCTTTTTAAATTTTTGAATATTTATTACTGCATCCGTCCCATTGATGGTTTGGTTGCGATTTACTTGTTTTGACCGGGAGTAAGGAATCTAAGGATGTTTTCTTTTGAGCTGTTTTTCAGTCCCAGACCAGTTTAGATCAGACCAGACCAGACTAGGACCAGCAAATTTCAGTCCTAAAGCAAAGAGATCCATGTCCATACTAAAATTATTTTTAGGGGAAATAATCACATGTTCAGAAATTACATTAAAAAATTTACAAAGTTGTATAAAGAAAAATCAAATTTGAAAAAAATTTGATACAAGAAGTAAGAGATTAAGAGTGTTTTATTTGACCAAGTGAATAACAAATAGGATCATCAAATTGGGACGAACGTATTTATTATTAATTTATAATTTTTTTTACACATTTATAACAAATAAAACTATGATTTTATTATTAATAAAATAAATTTATAAAAAATTATATGAAGTGAATATAATGGAAAGAAGAGACATATATTACTCCTATTCGGGAATAATAAAACGATTATAACCTTATTGTTGTATTTGAAACTATTTTTTGGGTTTTCACAAAAATAATACTAAAATAAAACTTAGTTACTATACAAAAATATGGCTATTAGTTACTACGAAGTACAACGTAGTATCATAATAACTTAAGTTTAAAATTTGATCATAAGTTACTATGATTTCATTACTACTCTAAGCACTAGTCACATTTTTGTAAATAGTCTTCATTTTAGTTATAAATATGTAATTATTTCATTTTTAGTTGTACATTGGGGTAATTGCCGAGTAATAATTAATTTCATATTGGTGAATTGTTTAGTAGTCACATGATAAAATTAAAATGCTAATGGATTTCTTCCTTTTTTTACTGCAAACATGGTCCGCACGGATGAGTTTGAAAGTTGGAGCGTGGCAACTTTGTTATACCAAAAGTAAATAAATACGGAGTATTAAAGAACACAAATTCCAATATTAAAGAAGATGAATGGTTCTATTAATTATCCGCAAACCGTTCCACTATTCAAATTAAAGACTTCAATCGACCGAAAAAATAAATAAATCACACATATCCTTACAACCATTAGACTCTGATCTTACTTGAATTGATAAAATTCATATATTGATGATCAAAGTTGTATTCGATTGGTGTGAAAGTAATTAAAGACTTAAAGTAATGCAATTAAATTAACAAATATAGCATGCAACCGATTAGGAGCAATATATAGCCAATGATAATAAGCTTTAATATATTACGGAGTATAAGTTGTGTTACGTTCTAGTCTTCATGTATTTAACTTATAGAATTTTCAAATTGAAAAATGGGAAACATATGCGTGTAAAATATATGGAGTATGTATTTGATTCATTCTGATCATTAGCTCAAATTCTGATCAGATTTCTATTTAAAAGACCAGCTAAAACTAGTTCAAAATAGACAGACCATCTTACTAGTAGACTTAAATGTAAATGGAAAGTCATTAGTTATCTTTCTATAATTAATTAATTAATTAATTAATATTCCACAAGGGTTAGATCCCGGGTTCGACTCCCGGCAACTGTGATGAGACGTTACTTAAATGAGGGCCTCTGTAAGTACCGGGAACGGAGCCTCACTCTCTATCTGTCAGATTTTGATTATAATTCAATTTACATCCTCTCATCGTGTTGTCCGGTCGGTACGTGTTGGGGGTCCTCAACCTCAGGGATGAGGTGTCATCCTTTTATTAATATTCCGTTTGTACGTATAAGCATAGACTAAAAACTATGCTACATCGAATTAATTCCTATATACTCCTATATATATAAGGCCTTTCGATTCTTATACTTTAGTACTTTAGTTGGATAGTAATCGTATTATTCTCAAAAAATCTAGGGGAGCTGTTTTTATCAAAACGCATCTATCCGGCCGGGAAGCAAATAAAAAGGCGGAAAGATGAATGAAAAAGAGATGGACGCCAAGTTTTTCAAGTTGGCCACAGAGCAAAAATGGCAGAGATGTCCCAAGTGCGCCATGTTTGTCGAAAGTAGTGGTGGATGTGAACATATTTCTTGCAGGTTAACACCATTTATTTATTTATTTATTTATTTATTTATTTATTTATTTATTTATTTATTTATTTATTTATTTATTTATTTATTTATTTATTTATTTATTTATTTATTTATTTATTTATTTAAGTATGCATTTATCTTTTTTTGGTTGATCTCATGAAATTATCAATTAAGCCAAGGCTTTTGTCTCGTAGAGTATATGACACACTTTTTCCCTTTCAATGATAGATTATACTCCGCGCTACTTAGTACGTATTTCACAAGTCTTTGAAAATTAGGGTCAAATGCATAAATAATACATTCACTATTGGTAATGTTGCATTTTGCTATCTTAACTCTTAAATGAATCAAAATCGCAACTTAACTATACATGAATGTTTCGAATTGAGATTTTATTCGAATTTTCGATCAAAATTCCATATGTAGAGTAGCCCTATAGTGATCATATGAACAAAAATAAGATGAAGTGGACTTTACACGTGGAATTCTGGCTGCCAAATGCGATTTTGTGGTCGAAAATTTGAATAAAATCTCAATTCTAAACATTTATGCATAATTAAGGTACCGTTTTGATTTATTTAAGAGTTAAGATACCAAAATGCAATATTACCAATAGTTAAGGTACCATTTGAAGCCCGTTTGGTGACACTGTTTTGCGGCTTATCAGACTTATCAGCCAACTTTTTAACCAAACACGTAACTTTTGATTTTGCGCGTTGAATTGAGTAATAATAAGAAAAAGTAAGTTTGAAGTTACTTTTCTGACTGTATTGACTAAAGTTATTGTTAACAAATAATTTTAAATATAATTTTTTAATAAATCAGCCAATACAGTCATTTCAGCCAGAACTTCAAAAGTTTTAGCAGAATCAACTGATTCAGTTGATTTCTGTGTTACTAAATGAGCCCTTAATTGAATGTTTGACGCGCTAATGTTTCTCAAAGATAATTTGTAGCTTGTAACATTAATTAGTCACTAGTCACTATTGTTCTTTTACCAAATAGAAGTACATCAACGGGCAGTTTTTATCAAATGTTTTTAGTCAAAAACTACATCTCTTTTCCTACTCTGTATTAAATATTTTTGCTAATAATTACTACTATTTAGTTGTGGAGTGGCAACTGGTTCCTTAGCTAATTGTCAGATTGGGTTATTGTTATTTCCTAGATGTATTGTGTATGTTCTAACTTTTGATATACTCCGTCCGTCCTATAAAATAGTTCTGACTATGATTTAGATCGTAGTTTAAGAAAGTAAGAATAAAATGGAAATGGACGATTGCGATTGAGTAATAAAAAGTAAATGAGTTGTAGACATATAAAATTTTCCAAAAAGTTAAATTGAACTATTTTGTGGGACGACCCAAAAACAAAATCAGGAACTATTTTACGGGACGGAAGGAGCATATGATATATGATTAATGTGAACTAATTTGATTTTTCCTTTAAAAGCTCAAAAATTATCATTTCACCTAGTCCCGCAAACATAAATGACTAAATGGAATTGTCACTTTAAAAATGCAACACAAGTAAGGCTTCTAAATTTTCTTCTATTAACTTTGTCTACATTATGTACTTTACTGAAAAAAATTGATTTATACGGAGTATATTTTTACTTTTAAAGATTGAATGGGTTCGAATGTTGATGTAATATCTTGAATAAATTTTTACTTTGTGTAAGCATCTTGACCCAACTCTAGTCTTGTAGGTGCGGATGCAACTTCTGCTACATATGTGGGGTTGATTGGGAGTTCGGACATGTGTGCAAGAAATGACCTACTACTTGAATTGCCTGGATTTCAATTGATGCCAAGGGAAGATAGATCTACAGTGTATCTGTTTTATTCCTACCAAATTTTTATTTCTTGATAAACAAAACTATTGTGTTGAGCAGCAAAGAATTTAGCAATGTTTTAATATAGTATCTCCATTGGTTTGACTTAGAGGACTTGCAAGACTTGCAACAACAATATTTGGACTTTTTTCAAATTCCAATAAGTCAATTGTGTTAAAATACAAGTTATTAATAAACATGATGATAAAAATAAAAGTGGTCATTAATAAAAACATTTTATTTAAAAAGAGACATTCTTTGAGCGTATTTAGATACAAAGTCACCTACCAAACTTGCAATGTCAATCTCTTGATATCAATGTCATTCCATTGAGCCTCTCTGGTGACATACTTGGCTGCAAGTAGGACGACTTCAACAACTTTGGTTTTTAAAAACTTTGTTCTGCTGAGGCAACGGTAATTGAAATGGTTAGCAAAACTCTACGTGCAAAAAAGGCATTCAGAAAGAAATTCATTTCTTTTAAAGAATTCAACTCAATATACTAACCGTTTCCATCAATATCGCCGCATTGCTCGTCCCTCTGCAGAACTGCTTGTAAATGAGTGCAACATGACTCTAAATCAATCAGACATTGTAACTTCGCAAAATTGAACAAGAACCCGAACATATTTTCATATACTTTGTATTGCTCAAACCTCTGCGTCAACGAGTCAATAGATTGATCGACTATATAAACAAAGTATTCCGCCCTAAACAGCTCTTCTGGTATTGACGTGGATGATAAAGAAGATTCATCAACATTCTCATTACGGATTACACGCTTATGAGGAAATACTGGTTCAACTTCCAATTCACTGGGTAACTTTTAACTTTATGCATAGCATTAGAAAACTCGCTTTCTCTGTACTTCCAAAAAAATAGAAATTAGCTCTTTGACTTCAACAATAGCAACATCAAGAAGCATATATTTTGTGTCACGCCCCGGACCGCGTCCGTGCCACGTAGACAACCGCCGTACAATCCAATAAGAACAACGTAGTTCATTCTTATTAAATCATACAAGGCGTCCGATAGATTCTATTGCCAAACCGATTAGTAAACACATACAATCAACATCAATATCATAATCAAACAATTGCGGAAATAGTATGTTTGATACTTAGCCACACGTGGCAAATACGGGCACGCAGACCCTTTAATAGTTTGACTGAAAACCTTGTTCAAATATCCATGAGCAATTACATTGTTTTAAATGAGAATGGAAGCACGAACCACGTCTTCCTTATTGATGATCACCCTGGGCAAAGGTGCAGGATTAGGTCTCAAGCCTTAACCTGAAAAATGTGAGGGCCCCCGAAGGGGTCAGTACTCCATAGAAAGTACTAGTGACAAGCAGGCTATATGAGGAATAACTAATGGTTCAGACACGAGACCCAAAAATAGGGTGATACATATACTTATAAGTGTAACCATTGTTACCCCATCCCCAAGATAATACATACCGTATATACTTGTAAAATACTTGACCCGTAGGTCATTTTCTCACAAAAGAGTCTTTTAGAGACAAGGTACTTACCCAACCTTTCCCCTTTCATTCCTGAATGCCTAGCTTAAGAGCTACATTCTACCTTCATAATATCCTACCGAGTTTCAGGAGTGTTAACCCTCCCGGGGATACTCAACCCCAACCGAGTTTTGGGATCATTTACCGTCCCGAGGATACTCAACCTCAACCTTATTTCTAACCAAACCCTAACCTGGATATGGCTAACCTTTCGTTCACTCAACTATGGACAATACCTGGTCCTATAGTCATATAACAATCCTTAGTAACCAACGTGGACGGGTCCCGCCTGATCGGTCCACGTTAACCCACTCAAAAACTACCCGTTTTGAGTATAACTCAATACTCGATCGAGTACCCACCAATACTCGGTCGAGTACAGGAGACAGGAGCCCGTAAGGCTAATTTCCAAGGCATACTCGATCGAGTATCTATCCATACTCGATCGAGTATAGGAGACAGCGGCCCTTGGGGCCAATTTTTCAGCAGACACCCGGTCGGGTATTGTAGTTGACTTGGCGGTCAACGCCCGTTTGACCGCCCAAACGGAGTCCGATTAACGTGAAATTTTACATGCATATTCTACTTGAAGTCCTTGATCCAAAAATACCATTTTTGACCCCTGGATCATTGTACATAATAAGTTATCACATTTTTAATCACCAAACATACAAAACATGCCTTTCAACTTTGTTTTCTATATAATCATGGCATAAGCCCATACTTGATTAACTTTAATCATTCCGTAAAACATATCCTTGATTACTTTAGGTAATCTCATGCCTCAATCAAAAGTTATAAAGCATATAGCCGTCTTCTCACCTTAAAAGAAGTTTATGAAGTTCTAGCCTTTCTTATTGAGCCCCGGTGAAACTCCGGTGAACTTCAACGAACTCCGGCGACAATTCCGGCGACCCTTCCAACTCCGTGAAAGTCCTTGAAGTACCTTATACAAGTTAACAACAAGGTTTTATCACCATAAAACCCATATCAACACAAATAACCTCCGAAAGGTTATTTTCCGACGAACTCGTCAACTTTGCTCTCAAAGTCCGTCTTGGGTATAAACCAACCCTCCCACTCCTATTCTACACTTTTACATGTGTAGAAGTATCCTAGGAGTATGAAATATGATTAAAGAGAAGAAATGGGATTAATGAAGTCATTACCTTATTAACCCCAAGTTTTCCCACCTAAACTCCTCTTTTCTCTTCCCTTTCTTCCTTCCTTCTTCCTCCCTTGCTCTTGGTGCGTGAATGGTGGATGCTATGGAGTATTTTCAGAGCTTCTCTTCCCAAAGATGATGGTATGGCCGAGCTTGAATGAGTTGGGATGATTGAGAATGCCTTTTTGGCATTTCTCCCAATCATAACATGGGAGGGGTCCCATTTATTTTATTATTTTGATCCCAATCCATTCATGCCCCCTCTCCCATTTCCTTGTGCGGATCCCCCTTGTCATTTGTAGACTAAAAACGTGGGGATGGCCCCCACTTAGATGGGTGGTCATCCCTTTGTGTCCCCGAGTGTACATTCGGTCCCGAAAGTTGTATTTTCCGGACTGTTTTAATTGTATTTCATTTTATCGGGTAAAATGAAATGTCTATCATTCTTCCAATTATTATCGGCTACAAGAATGAATGTATATCCCCCAGCTTTTAATTTGATGGTATCCATAATTTATTATGGCTTTTATCTGTCAGTACGACGGTACCGATAAATGGGCTTTATTTGCCCAAAAGGTTACTCACATAACTTCTATGGCCCAACAAGGATGTCCACCATTATACACATATTATCTTGACCCAAATGAATATAATATGTGGTCCCGATAAAATCGGGCGGCCCCCACTTCCAGTGTGGGCCCCACGTGAATTTTACTATTCACGCAAAAGAAATGATAAAAATTCACGATCACGTAAAATGCGTTTATTCATTTCTTGGGTTCAATACATAATTTGATAAAGTACAAATACTTGGGGGCGGTGTTACAAGTTCTACCCCCCTTATTTGGGATTTCGTCCCCGAAATCCACGTGTCTAGTCGAACAGAAATGGATACTGCTCCCTCATCAGGGTCTCCACTTCCCAAGTCTGCTCCTCGACACGATCACTCTTCCAAAGTACCTTCACCATCGGTACCTCTTTACTCCTTAGCTTCTTTACCTGTCGGTCCATGATCTTTACCGGCTGCACCGCATAGTGAAGGTCTTCCCGGATTTCTACCGGTGGTTTCTCAAGAGAATGTGACGGGTCCCGTACATACTTCTTGAGCATGGAAACATGAAATACATTATGGATCTTTTCTAACTCTGGAGTTAACTGAAGCCGGTACGCTACAACCCCAATTCTTTCAATGATTTTGAATGGGCCTATGTAGCGTGGGTTAAGCTTACCCCGACTGAGGAACCTGATGATCCCTTTCCAAGGTGACACCCTCAGAAATACCTCATCTCCGACCTCGAACTCCAACGTCCTTCGTCATTTATCTGCATAGCTCTTCTGTCGATCTTGGGCGGCCTTGAGTCTATCCTGAATAATCCTCACCTTCTCCTTGGTGATTTCGACTAGCTCGATGCCCTCGAGTTTTGCCTCGCCAACCTCATCCCAACACAAGGGTGTCCGACATTTCCTCCCATACAATGCCTCGTAAGGAGGCATGCCTATACTTGCCTGATAACTGTTGTTATAGGCGAATTCCACCAAAGCCAACTGGTTGTCCCAACTTCCTTGGAACTCTAAGGCACATGCCCTCAACATGTCCTCCAAAATCTGAATCACCCGTTCGGATTGCCCATCCGTTTGAGGATGGAATGTTGTGCTAAACCTCAACTTCGTTCCCATGGATTCCTGGAACTTAGGCCAAAACCGTGATGTGAACCGTGGGTCTCTATCCGACACTATAGTAACCGGAACCCCATGCAGTCTCACGATCTCATCTGTATACAACTTGGCCAGTCGCTCAAGCGTATAAGTAGTGTTGATAGGTAGGAAATGAGCACTCTTGGTCAGCCTATCAACCACCACCCATACCGCGTCGTAGTTCCTAACCGTCCGTGGCAGACCTACCACGAAGTCCATAGTAACATGCTCTCATTTCCATTCTGGAATGGTAAGTGGTTGTAATAATCCTGCCGGGTGTTGGTGCTCTGCCTTAACCTGCTGACAGGTAAGGCAACGACTGACATATTCTGCAATCTCTCTCTTCATCCCTGACCACCAGTAACTTTCTTTCAAGTCCCGGTACATCTTTGTTCCACCTGGGTGCATGGCATACGCAGATGAGTGAGCCTCCTCAAGAATAGATTTTCGGAGCTCCTCATCTAACGGTACACACACTCGCTCCTTGAATAGTAGGAGTCCATCTTCTCTCTCACGGAAACCCTCCACGGGCCCCATAAGCATTCGTCCCCGGATTTTCTGAAATTCCTCGTCATTGCCTTGACGCGCTCTGATTTCGTCTAATAAGGTGGGTCTCACCTCGAATCTGGCCAATAATGTGACACCGCTCCCGAACGTCCTTGAAAATTCGATTTAAAATTCAAAGTTTATGTATTGAATTTCTGATTCCCAAACAATTGTGAAATGATTGTTGTTTTACGTAATTAATGATTGATTATTATACTGTTCGAACTCGTATATTAGTATCGGGCCTTATTAATAAATAAAAGATCCTAACATTATCTAAATAGTTATACATAACGTTTTAAGACAAGTTGAGGAAGGGCGGGCAGCCCATATATTATTTGGGCCCAACCTGCTAAAGTAGCAAATATTTGAGGACGGCGTCGTAGGCCCACTCGGGGGCGACCCACACGGCTTGTAGCCCAATAATATGAATGAAAAATGTCAAGATAAGTGATAGGATGATTAAAGGAGAGTACAAATGCCTATAACCCCATCTTTGGCATTATTGAGCCAAATAATGGGAGTAGGATTTTCCTTCTATATTATCCATCAAGTAAATTATTGAGATGAGCCTACACATATTGGGGATCAATAATGTTATGTAGGAAGTTGACTTGTTCTAAATAAATTAGGATGAGTACAAAAAGACATCTTTGACAAAAGATAAAACAATAGGACCCATTCTTCCATTTTTGGGTGTATTGATAGATATTTTGGATCCCAAATTAATTGGGATCAATGGGGGACCACTCCACATGATATTAGTACCTGCAAGACAAGGAAAATATGTGAGAAGACTCACCTTGGCCGCACCACATGGAGAAGCACTGCCCATGACACAATTGGAATCAAATTTTGGGGCCACCACCACTGTTTTCGCACAAACAGGTGTGCTGTTTTGTCTCCCTTCATTTTGAGAGTTGTACTCGTCCAAATGAGGTGTATAAGGTGTCCTTGGATAGCCTTTGAAGTCTATTTTCATAATTGAGTGGTCTCTGTTCTAGAGGAGAGAGTAGTCATCCAAAAATCGATCTGAAGCGAGCAGTGGTCTGTGAACTCGAGCTGTGAGAGTGCTGAGACTGTTTGGTTGATATCTCGAGTTTTACCAATCCAATTAAGGCGTGTGAGATACCAAAAGAAAGATCTCAAGACGAGGAATCCTTGAAGGTCTGGTTTGCATCAATCGGAGTAGAGGAAGCCTTCCAAATCGTCCGAGCAGAACGCGACCTCGCAGGGACGGATTTACTCTTCTAAGTGAGTTTTTAATCCCAAAACCTTTCCATTCATTTTCCAAATGATATGAACGATTGGTGGGACTATTATACACTACTCCAAGTGTATAAAACATCCCTATTAAGTTATTTTATTGATGTAAAGGTTAGATACTAACCTAGATGCAAATATTGGAAAACTAGGAATCGAGTTAGCCGGAAAACACCCGTTCTAGGGGCTGTTTTCGTATCGACGATTAGGAGTTGAAATAGCAACTTGAGGAAGCTGTTTAACACCCATTTTCAAGCAAGGAACCAGCTCTCAATATTCCTTGGCCGAGGCTTTGGTCATTGGATCGAGAAGGAAGGTTTTAAAGCTCATTTGAGGTGAGGACCGACATCTAGTTGCTTACAACTTGTAGGTTATGCATGAGATTGCCTAAATGCTTAAATCATGTTTTTGTGAATAAATATGCTTGAACATGATATGAATGATAAGTAATGGACTTGATCATAAATTGAAACCATATTGATGAATATGGAGTCATGTGAGATAAAAGTATGCTAAAATGGTAAATTGACCTTCCAACTCATGTATGAATGTTATGTGTATGTAAATGTATGATTGCATGATGATGCTTAGCACATGGGAGGCTGCCACATATCTATTGATATGGAGGGGCTACCATTAATGATAAATGAGTTGTAGGAATAATCTTAATAGTATTGTGATGCTAGTTAAGGATTGTTCTAAATGTTGATAGAACCAAACTTAAAGGTTGAGTTTGTTTGTGATGAACTTGAATGAGATTCAAGTGTCAATTGGGAAATCATGGAGTAGGAGATCTATGGTGTGGTTTTATGAAGTAGGAGATCTATGGTGTGGTTTTATGAAGTAGGAGATCTATGGTGTGGTTTTATGAAGTAGGAGATCTATGGTGTGATTATATGAAGTAGGAGATCTATGATATGATTATATGAAGTAGGAGATCTATGATGCGAGTGCATGATGATGTACTCGAGCCGAACTCTAGAAATGAGAAGTTGTATTAGGGTTGGACCCTACGTATGTCGTGACCATTAGTCACGGGGTTTTGGAAAATGTTTTATAACAAACATGGGCCTTTGAGCCGACTACTTGACTTTATATAAAGTAAGTATATATTTTGAAAGGGGTAATTTGAGATTACGGCCTATACTATATTATCACCCTATTTGAGGGTCTTGTGTGTGAAATACTTGTTGTATATCTATTAGATGCCTGCCACACCAGCACTTTATAGCCCTATAGAGTGCTGACCCCTTCGGGGGCGTCCCACCACCATTTTT